GAAATCCTTCACAGGACCTTACCTGAACTGTGTCCATCCTAGCAAGGTCGAAGCATTCCTGTTCGAGATTCATGAAGGCATATGCGGCAGCCACCAAGGAGGAAGATCTTTTGCTTACAGAGCAATTTCACAAGGATATTGGTGGCCTTACATGCAAGCAGACTCAGAAAAGTATGTCAAGAAGTGCGAGAAATGTCAGAAGTTCGCACACCAAATACATCAGCCAGCTAGAGAACTATTGCCATTAACTAGCCCATGGCCCTTCGCAATGTGGGGCTTGGACATATTAGGACCACTTCCAACAGCACCCGGCAACATGAAGTTCTTTCTTGCAGCAACAGACTACTTCACAAAGTGGGTGGAGACGGAAGCACTCGCTTCAATAAAACAGAAAGATGTGAAGAAGTTCGTCTGACAGAATATCATCACTCGGTTTGGCATACCCAAGGCTCTAATATCAGACAACGGCACTCAGTTCGACGGCAAAATTTTTAGAGGCTTTTGTGAGGAATACAAGATAGAATTCTACAATTCTACACTGGCATACCCCCAAGCAAATGGCCAGGCAGAAGCATCCAACAAAGTCACCTTGGATGGATTGAAGAAAATGCTAGAGAAAGTAAAAGGAAAGTGGGCGGATGAGCTTCCTCATGTTTTATGGGCTTACTGTACCACACCTTGGCGATCAACTGGAGAAACACCTTTTTCCTTGGCCTATGGCATGGAAGTAATAATCCCGCTGGAAGTTTTTTCCTTGAACAAGGAATAAGAGTCCTACTAGGATTGTGCCACGTGGAACCTCTAAAAGCTCATAACATCACCTAGGGAGAGGTAACACAACTTTGATTCTTGAATACATAGAGCTTTTGTCTATTTGTCTATTTTGCTGACTTGGGCATCGGAGAGGTATCCGGCACACACCCGCCGGCTAGCTCACGTTTGTGTTTTCAGGGAGTAAGGCGACGACGCTTGGAGGAGCGCAGACTTGATCAATATGATTATACGAGAATAATATTTCTTATTCGTACAATTGGCGCCATCTGTGGAAAAATCAGAAAGAACAAAACCTCTTGATCAAGTTTTCCCTCTCTAATTGGAAGCAATGGCGCATAATGAAGATTTGCCTTGTTAACTAATGGTGTGCTATACATTGGCTTAAAAATAACCACCAAAATGATGTAAGGAAAAAAAAGGTGTAATATAATTTGCCTTGTTAACTAATGTTTATTTTTTGAACATAATGTTACACTATTGTTATTAAGGGGGTGTTTGGCAAGGGAAAAAATAGCCTAGTTTAGGTTAAAATTCAAAAAAAGATAAAATAGGTTAAAATAGTTAATAAGACAAAATATCACATCAAATCTATAATCATTTCACTTTTTCTCTCACAAATATCACATCCAACTACAAAAAAATCTTTCCAAACACAAAAATTTTAACCTACTAAAATAGCCAAAAACTAAAATAGCCTACTAAAATAACAACTTCCCAAACGAAGCCTTAATATGTGATCATCTATATATACGTATGGAGCATATACAATTATGAATATGGTAATACTAGTGAAATTATCCGAAGACTAATTGTTAAATTTATTTAAACCAAACTCTCAACTATGTTTTATAAGAATTAGTTTATCCAATGTTAACTCTTAATTATATTATATAAGACACTTTTTAAAAATTAATTTGTTTTATTATATTGATTAGAAAATATATAGAGTTTGCGGATATCTTCTCTTCCACTCTTTAAGATAAAAAGATTAAAATAGTTAGATGTTTTTTTGTTATTATAAGTGTTTGGCGTTTCGTCTAATTGATTCTTGAGTATATGTATGTATTCTCTCATTTAAATATATCGAGTAATTATCATTTTTAAAAGCTGAGTTATTTAAGAAAAAAAAAATTGTTAATCATTGGTTCACTCATTAAAATTCAAACTTATAACAGTGACATGTACATAAAATTTCAAATTCAAGTAGTTTTTGATTTCGTTTTTAAAACCCATGTTGTCTGTTAAGGTGACTTAATTTTTTTTAATAGACTAATTAAAGTCTTATTTTAAAATGTAATTTTTCATGGTCTAAAACACAACTTAAAATTATGAAGAAATTACCCCCAAAAAAATCTTGAGTTTGACTATTATAACAAAATAAATTAAGATTTTTTTTTAATTTTATCAATTTAAACTCTAAATTTTTTGATTTATTTTCAAACTAAACTATTAACCTATTTTCATTGATTAAAACCGACGAAAAAAATTGTATTTTAGTTATTAAACTCAATATAAGTATACATAAAAAGTCTAAAATACACTTTTCATTGTGTTTAATAATTAAAATACCCTATTTTTTGTCAATTTTATTTAACGAAATAGACAAATTATTTAGATTGAAAATAAGTCAAAAATTTAGACTTTAAATTGATAAAAATAAAAAAAGCTTCAAAATTTATGTAATTACAAAAGTCAAACCGTAATTTTATTTTTTTTGTGATTTCTCATAAATTTTATAATCATGATTTCAAAATATAATTTCATGAAAATAACATAAAATTAAAAAAGTATTTAAATTTAAAATAATTCATTTTAGGATAAATTACAAATATAACCCTTAAGATTTGTTTAAAATACAAATTTACTCTTGTAGTTTGAAAAATTACAAATACCCTTCTCAGAATTTTTTATTGAACATAATTAACTAAAAAAATAAAATTCTTAACTACTCTTTTATGCAATGATAAAATTATCAATTGAAAAAAATTTATATACATTATTATTAAAAATTGTCAATTGATTTCATAATTTATTAATAAAATGAATTATTTATTATAAAATTAAAAACTTTAAAAGTCAGGATGTAATTTTTAAAATTACAGACAACAAATAATATTTTGAGCAACACGTGCTGTTATCTATAACATTTTCTGTTAGTTTTACACTTCATTCCTTACCATAAGATGGTTATGTTACATGTATATTTCTAAACATGAAGGAGTAATGTGTTTTCGATAGGGGTAAAATGTATTTTACTCTTCTTTCTTTTAAAAAAAATTGTCGCTACCATAAATGGGTAATTTTATTTTCACACATTAATTCCACTCATTGCACACACTTAATGAATAACTTCTCGATACACTCATAAAAAATAAAAAATAAAAAACTTGAGTATACATATCTTTATTTCAATAATATCATTATCTCGATAGGGGTAAAATGTATTTTACTCTTCTTTTTTTTAAAAAAAAAAAATTATAGCTACCATAGATGGGTAATTTTATTTTCACACATTAATTCCACTCATTGCACACACTAATGAATAACTTCTCAATATATTCATAAAAAATAAAAAACTTCAGTATACATCTCTTTATTTCAATAATATCATTATCTTTAATTTCAAAATCCTAATTTTTCTTCCATCCACCCATCCTCTTTTGTCGCCGTTGTTACCACTTTTATCCCTCCATCACCGCCACTTCTAACTCTCTTCCATCCTAGACCTCTACAGTCAAACCTCAAAAGTGGGTGATTCGTAACATGAGAACTTGTGAGAGTGTTTCATGGTAAAAAGTAGTCATAAGTGAAGGAGGAAAGAGATAACGGGAGGAGAGGTAGAAGAGAGAAGGGAGGGATGGTCGAGGAGAGAGGTAGCAATGGTAATAGAGAATAATTGTGATATTTTAGAATTAAAATTTGAATAAAAAAAAGTAAAGATATTATGTATTTTTATTCTAAAACAAAATTATATTAAATTTTTTTGGAGAAATTACAAAAAAAACCCTATGGTTTGGCGTGTTTTTCACATTAAACCCAAACATTTTAATTTTAACAATTTAAATATTGAATTTTTAACTGTGTCCCAATGTTGACCCTCCGTCAGTTTCCATTTGTTTTTGTTAACTTTTTATACTTATTTGATACACATGCCACTTTTTGATTCGTCTATAATTATTATAATTATTTTATTTCTAAATTACCTTTTTTTTCTATCAGCTTTCTCTCTCTTCCAGGATAAATGATCGTCAACCTTTGGATGCCTCATTGCTAACCTCTGCCCGTTCGCTGACCTTCGCGTTGTTCGCTAACCTCTGTCCACACCTCCCTACACTACCACAGCATCTCCCACACCCCTTTCTCTCTCTCTATCAGTTCTCAATCGTCTTTTTCCTTAAACGCACATTAGAGTTCTTTGATCAAACTGGTTCGCCGAAGTGGCTGGGCACGCCAAAGTGAGAAAGCAAAAGAGAAAAACAGCTAGAGAAAAGCACTACCAAAACCCTTTTCTTCTTCCCCAAAACCTTAAGACCCCATAATCTTCTTTTTTCTACCCCAAAACCCCATAATCATTTGATTATCTGATTTGGAATGAAAGGAAGAGCTCTTTCGGCCCTTGCGGTGGTGGAGATGATTGAAGGGAATCGGAGCTATGAGCGGTGGTTGAGAAGCGCATGAAGGAAGAATAAGGGATTTGCCTATGCGTTTGGCGTCTTTGATGATGAGATTGTAGTGGTTGATGGTTCGTTCGCTGCCTCGGGCATCGCCGAGATGAATAGTGGAGGATGCCGATAATGAAACTGTGTGAGAGAGAGAGAGAGAGAGAGACCTATGTGGAGTTGCGGGTGGTCGTGCGAGGTGGCGATTGGTAATAGGGATCGACGAATGGCAGCAGCGACAACTAAAAAGAGAGAGAGAGCGCGCTGATAGAGGGAAAACAAATAGGACTAATTGATGACAGAAGGAAGAATAAGTGACACGTGTATCAAATAAGTGTAAAAAGTTAACGAAAACAAATGAAAATAGACGGAAAGTTAACATTGTGATACGGTTAAAAATTCAAGATTTAAATTATTAAAATTAAAATATCCTAGTCTAATATGAAAAACATGACAAGCTTTGGTTGTTGTTGTTGTTGTTGTTTTGCTTTTTTAAATTTTCCCAATTTTTTTTATTAAATATAAAATTCACCTCCATTGATATACAAAAAGCTATGGCGGATATGTTATGCACATAAGTATTTTAGTTGAAGAAAAAAAAAAAAAGCATCAAACAAAACACAAATAGCGACCATTTCAAAGCGACCTTCTCGCAATTCGGAGACCGGGGTTTGATCTCTCTCTCTCTCTATCTCTGTCGATGGCGATGCTGATGGTAGAGAGCATTGTGGTGGTGGTTGGTGTTGTCCTCCTTATGCTGCTTCTGATCCTCCTCCTCATCCTCCTCGCCTGCAAGCCATGGCGCTTCTTTCTCTCTCCCTCCCCTCGCACTCTTGCCATCAAGTCTCAGGTTTTCATTCTTCATTTTCTTTGATCTTAGGGTTTTTAGCTTCTTTCTCATTTGCACTATTGATTCAAATGTATTCTGGGTTTTTATCTTGATGTTCGATACGGGGCATTGGATTTTGCTTCTTTTTTTTTTATTTGAATTTTTTGGTTTAGCCCCAAATATTTGGGGTTTAATGATATGGGTTTGTCTGATTTAGGTCCGATTGAAGGTTTGATTGATAATTGAATGACCCATTTTGTTTGTGTTGCTTGATCGCTCCTTTGAGGATGACAATGGGTTATTGTCTGAAACTTCGAGGATGTGGGTGTGTCTATTGTTTAGTATTGATCAATTTCTGATGAATTGTTATCATTTAATTCAGGTTGAGTCAATTATTTATTTATGTATTTATTTATTTTTCTCAATAGATGATTTGCTTATAGTTTCAATGCTCTCTAATAAATTTAAACTCTTTAGTCGTGTTCACTTAAAATACCTCACATCTAATCTAATATTTATGAAAGAAAGTTGGGTGCTTTATTTTATTTTATTTTTTCTATTCTTGTCTCTTAATGCTTTTGTTAATTGGGTGTATACAATGAACCAAATATTGAAGGCTATTGACTTAGTTTTTCAAGGGGGTCATTTTTATTTTTACTTGGTGGGTTTTTCTGCAGGAACAATGACAAAATCATCATTAGTTTGATTATTCCGTTTGCATTTACTTTTAGACTTAAATAGTTACTATTGCAATGTTCTAGGAACTTACATTAAATAATTGATCAACTTGTTGATACCACAAATTAGCATGGATTATTTATTATTGAAGAATGACCGGTCATTAGTTCAATGTTAGGATCTACCAATCAATGATAAAGCACATAACATAAGATGAAACATAAATTCAAATAGAAAGCTATTGGCCATTTATTCATAATAAGTCATCTGGTTCTAGGCTCAAGAATACGAGAAGAACAAAAATTTACGCAGCTCAAAAAATTTATTACAATATCCTTGAGATACACCTTCTCTCCCTTGCTCAAGATCTCCACAACCATGACTGCCATTTCCTCCTTTTCTAGAAATCTAACACCCCTCATAACCAAGGCTGATTTCTCACTGGAAGTCTGTGGACCAATACTAGAATAAATAGGGAGGCTTGCTGAAGTTGACTGAAACTTCTCTCAGATAATGAAGTTCCATACTGCCCAAAATGCGAGAGGTCACTAGATCAAAGGATGAATGCAAACTAAAAAAAAAAAAAAAACGAGCTACTTGTATGCAATCTCTTATGTTTGTATGGTTTTAACTTCTAATATCTACAAAGACGAGCCAGCAAAGATTGAGCTCTTCACATACCCTTAAATTTAGCATAACAATCTTCTAAAGAAAGATCATTCAGAACAAGGGAGAAGTTTGATGCAGGTCATAAAGTTAATGAAGATTGTTGATACCAAAATACAACGCTTGAGCCTGTTTCTGCATTAATTTGGCACTAGATGATCACTAGACAACAACTAAATTGAAGGCTCCAACTTGTCCCATAAGCAATTCCAAATTTGGGCATCCTCCATATTTGCGAGCCACTACCCTTCTCCAATACCTCTCCTTATCATTGAGAACCTCCACGACCATTTTCCCAACAAGGCCTGAATGAAAATGGTTAACCTGCAAAAGCCCTAACCCTCTTCCTTCAAGGAAGAGCAAAAGTAACCCACTCCCCAAAGTAATGTTTAAACTCACCCCCATCCCTACCCCCACCCCCACCCCCACCACCACCAGCCCTTCTGCCTTTTTGCCAGCAGCTTATATTTTACGGCATATGTTTTTTTGGATGCTCATTGACATTGAAGATCATGCTAAGTGACAGGTGATTAGTATGGTGTGTGACTGGTGAGGAGGCTATGGTGGTTGACATTGGTAGTTGGCGGCACTGACTAAACATGCAACCATGCACTCATATTATCTTGTCATTGTCTGTGCTGCATGGCAATTATAATTATCAGGGTTGTTATTTTAAGCAACTAAATTTGGATAGATTTGTGTGTAGCTTAATTTCTCTAGGCATATGCAAACATAAATTTCTATTAATGTTGGTCTTTCTTGGGCATTTGGTTTAGGCATTTTACTTGCGAACTAGTTTTCTTTGTCATTTTCGAGTTGTTCACCTAGTGAGAACTTTTCCTGTAGGTTGATGATATAGAGAGGCCACTTGTCTCAGAAGATTTGAATTTTGTTCAAAATCAAAGCAATGAGTTCGCTGGAAATTCTGCTCTTGAGGGGACATGTAATCCAACTGAACAAACACATGGATTTGGTTATAAACAACAGATCTCATCCACAGCTCCTCAGTTGACTCAAGGTATGAAACTTTATCCTATTATTATTATTTTTCTTTCTAATATAGTGTTTACCTCTTCAAATTAATGTGTTCTGTCACTTGCTGTTCTCACTTCTTTCAGGCGGTAATTTTGTTTTGGATGTAATTCCTAACCCTTCGGAAGATATTTTCGTTGGTCAGACACTTAAGCGTCCTTTGGTGTTACACAGCATTGTTGAAGAGCAGAAGCATGCCAGATATGACTCAAAATTTTGTTCAGACAGTGATAGCTTTAGAGAGTTTATACCCAAAGGTACTGCAGATCAAAGTAATGTCTCCTTTTGAACTTATGTGAAGATTATGAATAGGTTAAGGTTCTTTGAGTCTTTCTATTTGGCTGAAGATGTAAAACATGTCATCATATCTTTCTGTTAGAAGTGCAGGAAATGCAGGAAGTAACCTCACACTGGAGGTTATCTCTGGTCTTTCTTGTGGGCTTCGTTGCTCCATACAATCAACAAATGCTTCAAGGCTTCCACTGACTATTGGAAGGGTTGTTCCAAGTGATTTATTACTGAAGGATTCAGAGATTTCAGGGAAGCATGCTCTGATAAACTGGAATTTAAATGTAATTTGATATGCATTCTGATGAACCTTTGAATTATGCATGTTGTTGTGGTTCACGGAATTTTTAGACTTTTGTTGGTTTCAGAAGTTAAAATGGGAGGTGGTGGACATGGGCAGCTTAAATGGAACATTCTTGAATTCACGGGCAATCCACCATCAGGATTCTGAAAAAAGACATTGGGGTCAACCTATTGAGCTTGCAAATGGAGACACAATAACTCTTGGCACAAGCACAAAAGTATCTGTAAGCCCATCTGCATTTTCATCAAGTTGCAAATATGAGAATATTTTTCTGGGTTAAGAGTGATAATTTTGAGATGAATCAATTTTTGTCCTACTGATCTGGACTATGTTCAAACAAAGAGAATTTAACTTTTTGGTTAGGTATATCAAATAATCTTGTAACATCGCAGCATGTAAGTTTGGGATGAATCTGTGCTAACTGTTTTGCAGGCACTGGAATAGGGAAGGGAAAGATTCTAGTGACATTGGGACACATCTGATATTCGTTTAATATTGAGATTCATCCCATATAATAAAGTATAATTGTCTGGATAACATAACTATGGTTTGAAAAACTAGGACAAACATATTGTGTTGAACTTGGTCCCAAATCCACGTCCATGCAACAAAACCTTTATTTCTCGTGTGTCATTTTACATTATAGGTTAGATTATTTTAAACATTGAATTTATTGTCATATGCTCACCTTATAGTATTTGTACCCCATCCTTGTGTCCATGCTTCATTTTTTTAGAATTTAGGTTTCAAATGCTGGTTTCCAGGATACTCCTTCGAGTGTTGGTTCGAAGTCTTTGCGCATCCAAAGGTCAGATAGATAGCTAAAGCCACATTGAAAATTTTAAACTTTCCAGATATTGGTAATTTTTTTTGCTTTGATTGAAGGTTTTTTTTAACTTTTAATTTCTTGTAATTTTACAATTCAATTTCTTATTTTATTTAACTTTGTAATAACCTTGCTTAATTAGATGATGCGAATTATAAAATCTGCAAAATTTTTCTAGAACTTTTTAGCAAATGAGGAGAAAGTATCTTTTGTGCTGGTTACAGGGAAAAAATGATCTGGGCAGCTATATGCTGTCAAATATCCACTTTTTTTTTTTCCTCTCTCCCTTTTTTGTTGTTACTTCAATTCTGCTCAGCATAGTACATAGTTAAACCAGGACAGCTCTCCGAATGATCCACTTTTCTTGCTTACAGGTGACTAAACAGATCGTTATGTGTATCTCTTGTTTGTTATCATGTAAACTATAATCCCTGTAAATTTTCTACCTTTGTTACATTTTCCCTCCACTATTTTTGCAGGTTCGGATTACGTCTCAAAGTGAGTGCCTGATCCCTTTTGGAGTTGGTCTGGCATCAGATCCCATGGCTGTGCGCCGAGGAGGAAAGATGCTGCCCATGGAAGATGTGTGCTATTACCATTGGCCTCTTCTTGGGACTGATCAGGTTTTAGACATGTATATTTGGATTTTATCCTGATAGTCTTGCACACTTACTTGAAAGGGCTAAATCTTGCACGGTTGCCGAACATGCAGTTTGGACTTTTTGGTATATGTGATGGACATGGCGGAGTAGCTGCTGCCACATCTGCAAGCAAGTTAGTGTTTCATATCCAACTAAAAGACTGCTATTTTCCATGGCGGCTAAATCCCCTCTCGCATTTTGATATCCTGATAGTTACCTACAGCAGGAGTATAACCCCCTTTCACCAAGTCCAGAATATATATGCAATTTTCCTGAGATCCTGTGTACATCCCTCTTAAAATTCATGCTATCCCCATGTTTACTTACAAGTTAGAACAATCAATTTGACTTTGAATTAGACCAACTGTTTGTTGCTCCAAATTTGCCTAGGTGGAATGAGTCTTCATTTTCAGTTTCTTCTTCCTAACCCGATTATGCTTATTAATTTTCACTATTGAACAATGGAAACTGGTTTTGAATTTGGAGCAGATAGTGGGAAGCCTAGTTTGGTCAGGTTGGAAATAGATTGGCCTGATGTTTTGTTTCCTAACCAATCCTTGTGACATTATAGAAGATGAAACTAACATTTTCTATCATGCTTTAGTATTATGTGTGTGAGGGTGCTAAAAACAGATCCAATTTTATTATTTCCCCATATTTTATCCTTGTGTATGCACAGGTGTACAACTTACTGTTTGCATACTTTATTAATTACTTGACAATTTTATCTCCAGGATGCTGCCTGAGATGGTTGCTAGTATCTTGTCAGATTCATCTATAAGGGAGAGGGTTTTATCACAATGTGATGCTTCAGATGTCCTTAGGGATGCTTTTCTACAAACAGAAGCAAGCATGAACCACTATTATGAGGTCTTTACCCTGACACAACTATACTTGATCTCTTTGTCTTCAGCTTTTGTCTGTGTTTTGTTGATCTAATCTGAAGGAGAGCTCAATTATTTGCTTCATACAAAATAGATTTTTCTCCTAATAATTCTCAAAATATTTACATCTTTCACAATATTTGGTTCTTATAAATGGTTCCATTTTGCTACCAAGTTTGGAAATATTTGGGTGACCCCTTAAATGCCAGTGAAACCAAGGGTTATGTTTTATTACCCAATCCACCAATCCAAGTATCGCATATTGACAAGATCCGCACTAAGTAAAGGACTTTTAACAACTTCATTATGCTTGCTGTATATGTGCTTTTGCACACTCCCATAGGTATTTGTGTACTTTGTTCATGCCCCAAACCTTGGAAACTACAGTATCATATGCATGCTCTCCTGCTTTTAAAACCTCCATCTGCACGGCTCTGCCTTTTGGCTGTAGTTGATGATTCTAAGGTGGAACTACTATAGTTTTTGTTATTCATATGGGTTTTTCGAAGGTTGAGTAAGCACCTTGCCTGATGTTTATTCATATCTAGCAGTGGCCTGTATTTGTGATTTCAACAACATAATAAGTTGACAAATGACATTGAAAGTTGCTCTTCATGAGTTGCAAAACTATTTCAAAATTTGTATTCACTCAACAAAAAACTATTTCAAATTTTTGATAAATGATTAGTGCTCAGATATCATGTATGTCCATTTCTTATAAAGAGCTGATGTGTGCAGGTTCTTGCATATTAGTTCTCTTATTTTGCATATAAAGAACTATGTTGTTCTTTTGCCAATGTGAATTGCTTTCAGGAGTTGTAGCTTCACATGTTTAGAATTTTCTGAAAACTGGAAGAAGAAAAGAACATGACTTGGATAGATATGACTTTTCTGAACCCTATACTTTTTCTGGTCCTACTCAACTTGATTGTTGTGAGCATGTTTAACTATAGGAACAGCGTTGTTTAAGTTCTTGGATATTGAATGTTGTCATCTAAGCCCACAGCAAATTGTCAAATTCTACTTTATGGATGCTTGTTTTTTCTACTTTTGGAGTTGTGTGGGTGCTATAGAAAGGGGTGATGGAGGTTCTACGGAGTTGGGGTGGGGGTCGGGTTGGCAAGCAGCATTGCAAGGCTTGGGCTTTGGCACCTTTGTGCTAAATGTGGATACTGTGGTTGGAGCGGAATCGGCCTTGTTTTTCAGGGAGTTCGTTCAGTTTCTTGGTTAGAAGACAAGTTTTTGTGAGTGCTTTGTGGTTCGGTGTCAGGGCGTGTGGATCCTGATTGTTCACCTTTTTAGATTTCCTTGATGATGTGATTGGCTAGTTGCTTTTCCCCTTTTTAGGGGGTTTCTGATTTCTGTATTCTTTAGCATCTTCTTTATGCTGTTTCTTCAATATATTTTATTTATCAAATTTTTTTTTTTTGGGGGGTCAAATTCTTCACTTTTTTATTTTTATTGTTGTATAGTTGGGTATTATAGCGTTTTCTCTACAAGCATGATTAAGGGTTACATCATATTTCTTTATTTTCTTTATTTATTTATTTATTTTTGCGCTGAATGAGGATTAAGGCTGTAGTGCTTGTTATAATAATCAAAATCTTTCAGGGCTGTACGGCAACAGTGCTTCTGGTTTGGGCTGATGGTCGTGAAAATTTCTTTGTGCAATGTGCAAATGTTGGAGACTCGGCATGTGTTATGTAGTACGTGCTTATTTTGTCATTCTTATATTTATTGTTAATTGTGATACTATGTCATCAGAATTTGTACATGCTTAGGCATGACATTCTTTACATTATCTCTTCTATAGTTCTGGATTAAGTCAATGGAGTAATTTCCTATTTTAAAAGAAAAGGGGGAGAGGGGGGGGGGGAGGCGGATGAAGAAGAAGAATGGGAACGGGCAATATGAGAAATTTTTGGCAACCTGAAATTCTTCATATGTTCCGTCTTGCTCTTCCAATTTCTTGATATTTTGGAATGTTATCACTCACACTGACTAACATCCTATGAAGCATGGGTATTTTGAAAAACATGCTGTACCCGTACGGGGTACTTACTGGCGTATGGTACATCGTATGGTACTTCTGCATACGTACCGGGTACACAAAACACGTATATAATTTTTTTCTTCTTAATTTTTGGCGTACCCAGACGTACCTACTATATACCCAAGCCGTACCGTACCTTAGTTGAAATAATATTTTCTTCTACTACAGAAATAAAACTCATTTCACTAGACTTCTTTTTTATTTTTAGTTTTATACTTAGCATATTTTTAAAATTAAATTGTGGTTTGTAAGTTATATTAATATATTGACATTTAATTTTGATTTGTATCTTTACTTTTGGCATTAAATGTTAATTGTAGGTTGAATCTTAACAAATTAAACCATTTAATTAATTTTTGCATTACTCTAAATTAAAAATAAATATTTTTTTACAAGCGTACCAAGCCCAAGCCGTACTCGTACCCTACTCAGATGTTAGCTATGAAGCACGGGTACGGGTACGAGTACTGGTACGATACGGGTACGTCGATAGGGTGAGGGGAAGAAGAACAAGAACGGGAACGGGAATATGGAGAATTTTGGCAACCTGAAATTCTTCATATGCTCCGTTCTGCTCTTCAAATTTCTTGATATTTTGGAATGTTATCACTCACACTGACTAATATCCTATAAAGCATAGGTACTTTGAAAAACATGCCGTACTCGTACCGGGTACTTATCGGCGTATGGTACCTCGTATAGTACTTCTGCATACGTACCGGGTACACAAAACACGTATTTAATTTTTTTCTTCTTAATTTTTGGCTTACCCAGACGTACCTACTATATACCCAAGCCGTACCGTACCTCAGTTGAAATAATATTTTCTTCTACTACAGAAATAAAACTCATTTCACTAGACTTCTTTTTTATTTTTTGTTTTATCCTTAGCATATTTTTAAAATTAAACTGTGGTTTGTAAGTTATTTTAATATATTGACATTTAATTTTGATTTATATCTTTACTTTTGGCATTAAATGTTAATTGTAGGTTGAATCTTAACAAATTAAACCATTTAATTAATTTTTGCATTACTTTAAATTAAAAATAAATATATTTTTTACAAGCGTACTAAGCCGTACCCGTACCTGTACTCTATTTTTTTTAGATTTTACCATATCCACATACGCGTATCGTACCTGTACTCGTACTTGTACCCGTGCTTCATAGCTAACATCTGAGTATATGTAAGATCAATATATACATACATATATATATATATAGTGTGTATGTGTGTGCGCTTTTGTATTTTACGTGTTGGATGTGCATTTGCATCGAGGCCTCAGTGGCTGGGTCAAGGAAATATACCATTGGATTTCCTACTATGGAGCCATGCATGGTTGGTCAAAAATAGCTATTTTAGAACTAATATGTACTCTTCAATAGTCGCTTCCTTTCTTTATGGATGATCGATCAAATAGCGAAAATGATCACTTTTTGTTAGGCAAATGCTAACAAGTGCCCCCTATAGGCATTGTTTAATGTAGGAAAGTGTGCAAAAAGTGTCTTGAAAATATGTGAAAATGTTAGAAAGTGTATTGATTTCAATAGAAGTGCATTAAAATTTAGTAGTAAAAAGTATCTTGTGTTCTTCAAATTTTTTTCTTTTACTTGTGCCCTAAGGGCACTTGTTAGCAAGACTCATCTTTTAATTATCTATTTCTTCTTTTATTTCTCGTCCAGGTTTACTGAAGTTACAGAAGTCCTAAATTTTTGAGGGCTAACTGCAGTTTCTCTATAATATTAGCTTTAAATTTCATCCCTGCCTAAATTTTTGTCAACTTAAACCAGGTTGGCGAAGAAACATAAATGGATGCACCCCTTCCGGCGTATGCCTGGTTTGTCCATTGATGACTAGTGCAAGTGACTTAAGTTTGCAAATGTTTTGGAATGGAAAATTTCTATATGGCCCTGCAGTGCCACAGTCACTTGCTTTTATATTTTTATTTTTGTATTTTTCAGGCCATGGGGCCTAAAAGTCATTAATGTGTCTATCTTGATCTGCATCTTCTTTAAGAGCAACCTGTCGGATACACTCGAGTACATTTACTTTGTCTATGAATTTTACACTCACCATTATTTCCAAGAATTGCATAATCCAAAACGAGTGGTTAATATTGGGTGGAATGCCACGCCAAAAATGGCCATTGATGACTAGTGCAAGTGACTTAAGTTTGCAATTGTTTTGGAATGGAAAATTTCTACATGGCCCTGGTCACTTGCTTTTTTATTTTTGTATTTTTCAGGCCATGGGGCCTAAAAGTCATTAATGTACCTATCTTGATCTGCATCTTCTTGAAGAGCAACCTGTCCGATGCACTTAAGTACATTTACTTTAGTCTATGAATTTTACACTCACCATTATTTCCAAGAATTACACGGTCCAAAATGAGTGGTTAATATTGGGTGGAATGCCACGCCAAAACTGGTTGGAGCCTTCTACCCCTTTCTTGAACCATTAAGTGGCATTCTTGTTGGTGAATATGTAGTTTGATTATCACATCGTCTGAAATAAGATTGTAATGCCTCATGAAATTGGGTTTTCGCTAAACAAGCACATGAAGGGGGAATATTTGGCTGCAGTTTATTGTAATAGGTGATATATGGCTACTATGATATATGGCCACTATGTTTTTTGCTAATTTTCCCATTATTACTACTTATGTTCTCAATAAGTAAATACTTAACATGTAACTTGCAAGAAACTACAAACCACAAATTTTATTTTATTGTTTAGAGGGTGAATTTTTTAAATTTGTATTTTAAAAAGTAATTAATGAGGTAGAATATGACGGGTGCCTGGATAAATTAAATTTAGATTCTGCTAGTAGCATTTTTTTTTCACTGGGTATTATCTGTTTATTACCATCCCATAGATGAGAACTGAATGAACCATGAACTGTATACGCTAATGCAAATAGCTATTGTAGTAGCTTTGACATTTCTGTTTCGTTTTTGTGTGTATTTTATTTTATTAATTTAAATGCTCTGATCAGGTCCACATAGTTATTGGCATGCCCAAATTGAAATAGTCCACTTTCACATAACCTCCCACCCTGTCTTTACTAGTGAGTAATTTGATCCTGTTGTGACAGTATTGATGGAAAGCAGATTAAAATGTCGGAAGACCACAGAATCAGCAGTTATTCTGAAAGACTCCGTATGCAAGAAACAGGAGAACCTTTGAAAGATGGGGACACACGCCTATGTGGTATGGAAATTTGTTTTGTCTAATCTATCATTTACCTTGTTAAATATTAATAATCAGCTATAACTCTTTTTTCTTTTTCCCTGCTTTCCCTTGTCCAGGTCTAAACCTTGGTCGGATGCTTGGAGACAAATTTCTGAAACAGCAGGAGGCTCGTTTCAGTTCGGAGCCTTATATAAGTGAAGTTGTGCATATACATCAGGCAAGCAAGGGTTTTGCACTTTTAGCAAGGTGATCTTACTTCCAATTAATATCTCTGTTATTTACTGAACTATTTTGCTAATAGTTGCCCTCGGAGTCCTAGCTCTTGCTTTTCGGTCTGGCTCTCATTTGGCTGATCCGCCATTCAATGGGCCACAATTGAGAAATCACTATTGCATTTTTTTAACCAGATCTGCCTGGCACTCTCTCTCTCTCTCTCGTCCTAGAATTGGAAGTCTTTTTTTTTCTTTATCTTGCCGTTCCCAGACTGTGCTTTAGCTTACTTTTAACATGGTGGAAATGTGACTCTGGATGCAGTGATGGCTTTTGGGATGTTGTTAACTTCAAGAAGGCAATTCAGCTAGTTGAACAGGTATTGTCAACTTGGTAGATACTCCAGCCCATTTACCATTTTACACTTATTTTAAATTAATCTTAAAATTGGGGTCTTTTTCAACTTCGTTCCCAAACTCCGTGAAAGCGTTTTACTAAACATGCTTTCTAATTCAAATTTCTTTGTTCTGAAGTTGAGTTACTAGAAGTCCGTTAAACGTTGGAGTATGAGAAAGCGTGATAGCTAACAAAACGTAGTTACTAAAAGCGTTTACTAAACATGCTTTTTATCAAAATGTTATTACTAAACACGCTATCATATAAGATTATTAGAAAATAAGGTTTGAAAAAAAGGCCCTAGTTTTGGAATTAAGTTTTAAAATTATCGTAAAATGGAAAATGAGCCAACACTTCCCTGTAATTTTGTCTAGGGGGTTATTACCTACTGTTTTTTGGGTTATTACCTACTGTTACCCAAACTCAAGTCTAAATCTTGAACTTCGCAGGCGAGGGAGAGATATGTGGCAGACACAGAGACTCCGGCTGAAAAGATTGCTAATTTTTTGTTGAACGAGGCCAGAACACAACGTACAAAGGATAACACCTCTGTAATTTTCTTAGATTTTGACAGCATAAATAGAATCCCTTCTTGTAAACTGGACTCTTAGAATTAGCTCCCATGTAAAATATTACAATTTTTATTGTTTTAATTTTTTTTTCCCTCTGAAATTTCTCTCTCCCCTTATATTTTTCCTTATCCAAATTATGTTTTGTGATGCCAAGATTCTTGGCACTTCTGTTCCAGAGTAGGAAGCCATTATATGTTCTCTAAAACAGTTAAAGGTATGTTTGGATCTTGGAAAAAGAAGTAAGTTTTAGGTATTTTCATAAGTCAAAATTGGGAAAGGCAATCAGTTATTGAAGTTTTTTACTGTAAGATTTAAATTCATCTTGGTCTTCATGGTTGGTGATAATCTTGTAAGATTCAAATTCATTTATAGCATGGTGTTTGAAGCTTGATCTTAACAATTGGCCAAAAAAATTATTTTCTTTAGGCCAGTGGAAATGGATTTTACTTGATTGTTTTCTGTTTGGATAATGAACTATGTTTTGTAGTGATTTTTTTAAAATAATAATTTTGTAAAAAGATTTTATGAAAAAAAATTATTGTATATAGATAGAGTATAAAGCAGTTTTCCAATATGATGAAAAATTAAATTCTCATTTTCGTGAGAACACTGAGTTTTAATTTTTCCAATATGACCGAAAATTTTAGTGACACTTTTCCAATATGATGAAATACTATTAGAAAAATTCTAAATTCTTTGAGAATCTAAGAGTTTAGGAAAATTTTTAATTTTATGAAAATTTTGAGTGACAGTTTTTCTATATGATGAAGAAGGGTTATTTAATCTAATATCTCTTTTCAACTTTTTGTAATGAACATAGTTTACAATATATTTTTTTGTAGCCTAACGTCCTTCTCCTATTCATCTTCTCTATCCTCAGCTTTCAATAAAACGATACAAATACATATATATATATATATATAGAGAGAGAGAGAGAGAGAAAACGATACAAATACATATATATAGAGAGAGAGAGAGAGAGTGAGAGAAAAAACCAAATAATAAATCAATAGTAGATAGAAGATTTTTAGGCAAACTTAACTTTACACTCTTGTGATTTGGGGTGAGTGCGAATTACCCCATGATATTCGGAAATCACTATATAATCCTCATGTAGTTTGTGAATTAAAATGCACCGTTCACTTTTTCATCTAAATTAACTGACTATGTAGTTCAAACGCATATAAAGAGAGTAAGCTACATTTTAAGACCAAAATATCCCTTGGACATCTTTAAATTTGCAAAGATGGGCCATCCTTCTCTCTCTACTATTTCTCTTTATATTTCTGAACTCCAACCCATTATACCACACCACCTTCCTCTCCCCTCACCAATCTTCCGTCTCTTTATATTTCTCTTCCATTCACATGGCTATACCCACGTCCTTCTCTACAAGTCCATGCCATTTCAAGTAAATAAGAAAAACAATAAAGCATGGAAGAAAAATGTTAAGTTTGCATCAATCAAAATTTTTTGAAGCTACAAATTAATATCCACTGACCAACGTAGAAGGGACCTTAGAAACTGTATATATTTACATTATAAATAGGGATGGCAAAGGAGGGCAATGGGGTGGATATTAATTCCTCATCCCTATTCCCCTATAATAAATTTTTTCCATTCCCTATTCTCCATTCCCCGTGGGTACCACCGTCCCCATTTCTTAATGGGTATGGATTTTTTCCAACCCACTTTAATCCTCATTTTTATTTTTTATATTTAATGTTAACAATCACTTTTTTTTTTTTTAAGGTTCACAACAAAAACTAAATATACCTTCAATCTTTTTTCTTTCTTTTTTAATATATTTAATGTTAACATTTTTTTTAGCTAAATATACCTTCAATCTTTTTTCTTTCTTTTTTAATATATTTAATGTTAACAACTTTTCTTTTTCTTTTTCTTTTTTTTTTTTTTTTTAAGGTTCACAACAAAAGCTAAATATACATTCAATCTTATTTTATTTTATTTGGTTCAACAACAAAATCAAATACACATTAATTAATTAATTAAAAAGTTTGTTTTATAATAATCAAATATATAATTTTGAGACAATCAAATAAGTTTTAGTAATTGAAAAAAAAACGTGGAAGAACATGGAATAAAAAAAAATTACATCCATCTCTCTCTCTCTCTCTCTCACTCTCACTCTCACTCTCACTCTCACTCTCACTCTCACTCTCACTCTCACTCTCACTCTCACTCTCACTCTCACTCTCACTCTCACTCTCACTCTCACTCTCACTCTCACTCTCACTCTCACTCTCACTCTCACTCTCACTCTCACTCTCACTCTCACTCTCACTCTCACTCTCACTCTCACTCTCACTCTCTCCCCTACATGTTATAAGAACCTGATTACAATGTTATAAGAGCCTGTTTGAAGAAATAAAATGTGAAAGAACATTTTAGACCCATATTAAATTGCATATAAACAAAGAATTGTTTGTTGATCTCTTAGCCACGGACATTTTAGACATTAAACCATCATTCTCTTAGCAAATTTGAACCATTCATTTCAATTTATCCAAAATCTAATTATACCTTTAACAAATCTGAACTACTCAATTTAAGATATCTATGCATTACCACACCCAATCCATCCTCCATCTTCTTCCTTTAGTTCCCCACGAATTTTGTTGTTTGTTACTTTTAAAAAACAAAAAATGTTTTTCAATTAAATTTTTATTAATTTCACAACACCATCACCACTATTCTCACTTTCACTGTCACACTACCATCACCATAGCCACTACCATCATCACTGCCGCCATCACCCCACCACTATGTAACAATTTCTACTTTCACCTTCGTTCCATCACCACCACCACCAAATATAAAAAAATATATTTTGAATTTTTTTTATAAAAAATATTTTTCATTAAAAAATATTTTCTATCTAAATAAATGAAGCATAACATTGGGAAACAAGCTGATTTCAGTTAAATCTGTTCATAACTAAGAAAAATTCTTTTAATTTAAAAAAAATTATTTAGTATGACTTTGTATCCCCTTTCTGTTTTTCCAGCACATAAATCTTTGTACCCATCCTTTCTAACCAATCACGACTTATGCTTGTTTCGATTCTCTACAATTTTCCTATTTTGTATAAATATATATATGTTGTATAAATTGTGTGATAACATAAAACAAATAAATTCATACTCGTTAATTGAAATTTCAGAACAAGCAAACCATTCTGAAAATTACAATACACAACAAAATAAAATAACATAGAAAAGCAAACCGAAACCTACACTAGACAGTGTCCTTAATTTTTTAA